AAATTTTTGTTTTTCACAGAAAAAAAATTTTTTTTTGGGAAAGAAAAAAAATATCCCCCCTGGCCCCGGATTGAAAAAACTGAAAACTCTCCTTGTTTTAAGTAAGCAGGGTGGGTATGGGAATTACAGAATAAAACACTGTTTAAAACAGGGTGATACCCGAGGGTGAAAAACTGTAGATATTCGAAAAAAATTTATTTTGTTTAAAATTTTTTAAACCCTTATATGATGATGAAAGGTGATTGTTTAAAACAGGTAAAGTTTCTAAATTTTGGAATGAAAACACAAAGAGGAAAGGACAAAACAAAGGGAAAAAAACATTGAAAAGACACACTTTACATTTTCTGAGTAAAATATTTGGTCACTTGGAAAATTTTTAAACACGGGGGAAAAACTGCATTTCTTTTCCCAACAAATTTCACATAAAATTTTTTTTAAAAGCTTAAAACCCAGAGGAGATGGCAAAGAAATTTTTATTTTCGTTTCATGGCCCATTGTAGAATAAATTGTTATCCTAATCCTGCAAACATTAGAAATTTCTTTACTACATCTACCCGTTTTAAAAACTAAGTTTGAAACTGAATTTTTTCATTTATACAGTGTTAGTACAGTTACAAGAGAAATACAAACATTTTTACTTCAAGTTGCATTTTAACCTGTAACCTTTACATCCTTTTATTGGTGAAGTTGTATAATTTAGTTTGGTGGAAGTAAACTAACTTATCCTGGTATGGTTTTCATGCTCAATTTTAGAATGAGTTGAATTGTCCAATATTGGTATTGTTGTATTTTTCAGTAGCAAATTCAACAGGGCGTGAAGTAAAATAAAGCTAGTTTTTCATAAAAATATTCATAAATTTTTTTTTTTTTTTATTAATTATATTTTATTTGACAAACCTTGCAACCAGCCTTTTAATAATGACAAGAACAAAGCATAAAAACATTTTTTTTTCTTAAACCCCCCCCCCCCCCCCCAAAAAAAAAAAACTTTGGAAAAATCTAATTGTGCAATATTTGTCATATAAGTTTTCAGTTCAAAATGGCTATACTTTGGGAATAATTATAAAAGGTTCTCGTATTTCCAAAATGAAAACAGGTTCTAAAAATTATTAATACATATATATTGTTTCAATTTGGAAGTGACACTGTTTGTATTTGTGTGGGTTTGGCAGATTTTTTTTTATTAGTGATGATTAAACAAAGTTAAATGTTGACTAAAGGGTATAAACTTGATATGTCTAGAAGCAGGTTGGTTTCTCCTTACAGATTCAAATTATAAACCAATTAACCGGCTGTGGTGACCATTTGGGCCACTAGTAAACAGCCAGGTTGCAGCCCTGCTGATTATGGTGCAGTCAAGACATGGCTTCATACTGCTGACTGATAAAAACTTTCATCTTTGATATCCAAAAAACTTGAAAATGGACATTTCCAAATGTAATCAAGGACAAGTCATAATCACAAAATAAACACAAGTTGAAGGTAATTACAAATATTGTACTGCAGAGTTTCTGCTGAGAAACATCAAAAGTAATTCTGAGATAAGACCTCTATATAATAGTTTTGCATGTATTCATTGAGACATAAAAAAAATAGCAACATAATGTAATAGAAAGAACCCCTCCCATAACTGACGGAAAATTGGTGTTGAATAATAAATAACTCCCACAAAGATCAAAATGCATTTAGATGGGATAGTTAGGTCTTGTGACATATTATGAAGATCTTTTGCCATGAAATAAATACATATGTAAATGACACAGTAGAACTGTTATACATCCCGGAAGTCATCCTTTCCACCTCCCTGCTGAATGTCTGTTTATCATAGTTTTTATCTTCCTGGATTCAGGGGTTAGTAATATGCAAGTCGATCAAATATTTGAAATTTTCCTATTGATTTTACATGGAATGATCTTACCTATGCTGATAATAATGATTATAGTGTATCCATTAACAACATCGTGCCAATCATGTTTTATCCTGTCAGTGTCATGTCAATTTATTATAACAGAATGATGAAGTCAAACAACAAAGCAAAATTAGAACTGCACAATATTTAACTTCCAATGTTTTGACATTAATTATCCATCATTATTATATTGGATCACCTTAATATGCCTCTGACCAAACCATTGAGTTTGTGAAACAAAGAATCTGATAGGCTATTTTCCATAGATCTTCAGATAAATTAAATTAATTTTTAAACTTGCCAATAAAATAGTAAAACATTACTGGATTCTATGTATCTAAATATACCATGGATAGACTTATTATAATCATTTTGTTATACAATATATATTATTCCAAACAGCAAAAAAGTTCAGTCAAAACTTGTTCTGTGAAGGCAACCTCTGAAAGAGACATTCAAGAAATCTTGGGATGACAGGTCATGAGATGGTCATAGTACAACAGTGTTTACTTGATTAAGACCCAGCTTTGACATTAGAACAGTCCATTCAAAGGTCACAAATATAAAAGGGGTCAAAAAATTTGAGATATTAACTGTATAGAGTTTAGGCCAAATTGTAATGTAAGTGAGACTGTATTGGCTCTATAACTTGTTTGGTAAAAAGCTTATAACTTTTGGGTTTCCAGAGAGGTTATTAGTTAAAATTTAAACTTAGCATAAATGCTTTTTAATTAAAAAACTAAAAAATTTAAATATAATCATTTTTAAAATTGGGCAGGTGATCTCTATTCAGAGGTGATCTTTTAAATTTAGAAGGTTGGGCTTAAACACAAAAGTTTGACTGGTTTAAATTTATAAAAAAAACAAAAAGTTTAAAATACTTGTTAAGTGGTTTTTGGGGATTCAAACATTAGAATTTGCTTTTAAAATTTTACTTTCATCCCTGCTTTTAAAAATATTGGGTATTTTTAATAAAATCAACACAACATAAAGGTTTACAGACTTTTTTCCATAATTTTAAAAAATATAAAACCCGACATGTATAGTTAAATAATATACCCTTTTAAATTTAATACAAAATTTTTTTAAACCATTTCTTAAAAATAAATTTTGTAGAAACATTGTACTAAATAAACCACCATTTTTTCAGGACAGGCCATAAATGGTCTACATACTGCTTTAAAAGAAAATTTACCTAAAACTTGAAGTAAATGAATAATTTGAAATTGAAGGAAACAACTTCTGACCCGTAAGTTTTTAGGTTTCTCAACAAATTGTATATTAATGAAAATTAAAAGTTTTATACTTGTTGTAATACCTTACTTGATACTTGAAGTTGAAGGTTTGATTGTGGGATAGGCCCAATTCCTACTAACACTCACCTAAAATTTGTTAAGGAAATAATGAAAATGAATGTTATTGAACAAACCCTTACAATGCTTTGAAACTGAAACAGCTATTGTCAAACCGCTAATATAAATATGAAGCTATAAAACTGAAACTAAACAAGTTTATAATAGATATCACAACAGCAGTTTCATAAATGGAAAATGGCCAAACCCATTCAGAAAACAAGAGCTGTCCATTTAAAGGTTACAAATTGACTGTTTTCTGAAGCCTTGAACAGTGAGAAAGGGGCATAACTCAAGTTTTAAAAAGGTAACTCAAAGAGTTTTTGAGACCTCGGGCCATCAATGTTTACAATTTATTCACTGAAAACAAATGTAGAAATTTCCCTAAAGAAGTTTTGAGATTTGAATACCAACCCTTTCACATCCAATAATTAATTTAACACAAAGTGAGACAGTTGAATTGCCCACGGTAAGTACAAATAACTCTACTTATTCCCTTTGAATCATCAAAAGGCTAAAAATCAAGCAGGCTTAATTTTTATTGTTTCATTATTAAAAACAAATGAAATTTATAACGCTTATTTTAAATGTTCCTTAAATAGTCTGTTTTCCCTTTCCTCAATGGGAAATTTGGGTTAAATAGCAGTTTTATTAAATAGAAAGTGAAAAACTTGAACATTTCTTTTCCTCTCTTACCTAATCCTGGTTTAATTCGTATTTTGATATCGTTACAGAAAAATTCTTTCAAAAATCAACATTTTACTTTTATTATAATAATACAACAATTTGGTATTAAACCTCTTTCATAAAATTAACATTGCTTAACGAGTGCTGGGGAAACAAGAAGAATAAATGAAACAAATTGTACAAGATGACGCTACTCTAAATCAAAGTATTAAACAAAACTTCTTTCTCAAATGGATAACTGGAAAATGAATGCGCCAATCTGGCTGGGAATCAAAACAGATTACTGGCACCAAATGAAACCTTTGTTGCAGAAACAACAAGGATGAACGGCCAAATCTATGCCATCTGAATCTTGGTCACACTGTTTGCAGCTCATTTTCTTAAATTTCGCGATTCTAAGACCAGTTCAGAAAACCATTTTTATTCTCAATATGGAAGTAAAAATTTCTTGTTATCCTGATCACAGTCAAATAAATTAATTCCTTAGCTTTTTTAGGTCAACAACATAGATTCCCATGTGACCATAGTACAGAAACAAGAATCCAAGCTACAACATCTTCAACTGGTCTTAAATTTCTTGGGTCAAGCTACGTTTTGTTATTCAGTTCAGATTAATTTGGAATAGTCCCCCCTTTAAATAATAAATAAACAGGGGCATTTGGGACCAAGTCCATTTAAGATATTTAGCAATAAGTATAATTAAAATCAAATCCTCAAAATTTAAATAAACAATCTTTGGGAAAATTATTTCCCCAGTGCCAAATTTTGACCTGAGGGCTTTAAGATTTGAAAAATTTTGTATAGAGATTTCCACTGTAAGAAGGTCATTGTGACCATCAATTTAATGAATATTTAAAACTATAAAAAAAATTGTTACAAAGGGATATTTAGCAAGTATAGGGTTAAATTTGCAAATCCTAAAAACTAATTAACAATCTTGAGAAAAAGCCTCGTTTAACCACTTACTTGTGTATTGTTGGTATATTTTTTTTTCCTGTAATGTTTTTATAAATGAAATTGTTAAGATCTATCTTCTGTTGGTCAAGAAGAAATTCCCCCTGGGAAATGGTGGTGGACTCCAAATCTGACACCAGCTAGACTTTCCTCTACAAAAACAAGTGCTGTCCCTCCCCTGAAAATATAATGTAATAATATTGTTCAATTACAAATTAAATAAACAAATTTTATTCTCTGAAGATAATTTTGGGGAACAAAAAAAATACAATTGAGAACTGAGAAACATGCCTACAACTTGACCGTTTCATACATTTTATAATTAACAACTAAATATAAGGACAATTATTATATTTTCATCTAATTCTGTCAATATCTACATACATGTAAATATTACATTAAAATAGCCTTAGAAAATCAAAATATAAATTTAATCCTCAATATGAATGAACAAATCATTAAATATCATCATAAAATGTGAATATAAATATAAACAATTATAATAATATGTCTCTTGTGAATTATAATAACATATATATTGAAAATCACTGAGGGTATTTCTACTTGAATAACAATAGTTTTATCTATGTCACATGAAGATTTTCATTATACTGCATAAGTGGATATTTTTTGCGTCCACAAAAATTTTGCGAATGTCAAAAAAGTGGACTTTTTGCATGCGAAAATTAATTGCAAAATTTTGAATTTCTTTAATTAAATACTGTTTTTGTGATTATCATTAATTAAACCAGGTACATGCTAAGAATATGCTGTAATTGCCCATCGTTCTAATTCACTGTTTTAATACCCTTTATTATTTTATATAATTGTTTGAAATATACATTTTAAGTTTGATATTAAAAGGACCTGATGACACATGTCTTTGTGACATTTTGAAACATGCTTTTGTTATATGACTAGCCTATTGTGTTTCCGATTACTAATGTGTTATTAACACATATATTGTTTCATTAAATCATTTGTGATTTGTTAAACTTAAACAAACGTCAGTGCCTTAACAGTCAAATTTATTCACTTTATATGCTGCATGAAAACATGTTTTCAAATTATAGAGGAAAGTTTGCATAAAAAAGAAATAATATTTTTTGTGTGATTAGATATTTGTGAATATTTTCAATTCGCAAAACTAGCAAACATTTCTACATCGCAAAATTAACCACTTATACAGTACATATTGTGTTCTTACATGCTAACACTTATCTCACTATATTTGTGCAATTGTTTCGCCTACATTGAAATTTGAACTGTCCATTGTTTACAAATATATGCAATGAGTCTGGGCCTGCTGTGGCATGCTGATTTTTCTTGTGATTTTTACTGTGTATAATTTCTGGCTCATAACTATCTTTCTTTCATATAATTCTATATTCATTTATGGGCGGTTATGTGGCCTTATAAAATAATAAATGTGTTTGCCATAAGATATCTATAATTCTTTTATCATATCACTTTTTAGTAGTAAATATACTACTATTATCATGTTATTCTTTGATAAATTGAAAATCTGATTGTATTTTAAGCTGGAGGCCTTATATTACAAATAAAAACATTGACATTAATTTTCAGAAAGTTTATTTCCTTTTCTTTGAGTTTATTTAGCTAAGACCAGTCACATTAAAACAATAACTGTTATATTCCTACTGAGATGAATGATTATTAAACTGTGGCGAATCGTTATTACACTGTGGTGAATCATTATTATTACTAATTCTTAGTAAGACCTCAGACATCGGCTGAAACGGCCTTTTTGGTCAGCTGAAACTTGTGAAACAATTCTAGTACAATATGTGGACACGTTTGCAATTAAAGCCAACCATGTTCAATCCAAAATATAGTCAAAATATTGCAGCAGATGGCTAGTTGCTTCCGCTATTTTTGTTGGATATTTTCCATACTGCTCCGTACTGTCAATGGAAATTTAACTTTTTCTAATTAAATAGGATCGTTTTTCGTAATGAATGTGTAATAGATGAGTAAAGTAAGGAAATAATTTAGTCCTGGAGGTGACGTTGATTAAGTATTGTGTTCGGCAAACTGTCATCTATAACTGAATTCCTGATGAAAATTATACCCAAGTAATACTACAATCTTTTTATTATTATTAAACATATGGTGTTTCTGTTATCTGTGCATGCATATTGAATAGTACCTTTTCATTCCAGATATTTTTTCTCACAGTATTTGAAAATGTTAAAGCTTTTATTTTCACTATCAAAATGACAATAGAAGACTTACGACATTGGCCAGGTCAATCACTTGAGTATAAGACTATACTACATTGTCTAATGAAACAGACGCATTTGATAAATAATTGGTAGGTATGAAATATTGTGGAAATTACAATACTATTGTTGTTTCAACTCAGAATTAAGCATTAAATAATATAGTGTAAAGTTATAAAGTTTGAATGGATAACAGACAATTTTCCATTAAAAATATGTATCATGAACTTTAAAGTATAAGTCGAAAAAGGGGCATAATTCTTTACAACGTCTTACGACAGTCATCGGTAATCTTTGACAGTCGCAGGTTATCTTATTTAGGTCCCACGACCAATTTCAGTCTAAAGAGGTTTTTGAGCTTGCACAACAACCTCCTTGCGATCAAACAGGTCACTAGTGATCTTATAAGGTCTCAATTAGGCTGTTGCACGATGGTTGTTCGGAAGTGCGACAATCTTACAACAGTCTTTACAAATTGCCACTAGTCACTGATAATCTTCAGAAGTCTTTAGTAATGGTGCGATGGTCGTACGACAAGTTGTAGGTGATCGCATGTTATGTCACCTGTAGTCGTAAGTAATCCCAGGCAATCTTGAGGCCATCGTACGTTTACTTATGACCTGACATGCGATTGTCAATGATGACTTGTCTTACAATAGTCGCAGAAGTAAATTTATCTGTGCAAAAATGATTTTGGTCGCAGAGTCAATCGCTGATGATCGTCAGTTTTACAAGTCGCCTTTGGTCGCAAGTAATCGTAAGCTCTAGTGTGACTGGGGTTTTAGTGTGCAAAGTTTCAAAGCCATATTGTCCAAATGGACTTTGAAAACATTTGAGGTAGTTAGTACAAACCTCTACAAACTTTCACATTATTAAGTGGTTACCCCAATGCTCAGGTGACTGGGATTGCTATACTTATTCTTATGGAATAGTCGAGATAAGAAAGGTGAACAAAATCCTAAATATACAGTTAAATACATATGGCGCATGATCATTTATAATTTCAAAGTATATCTACATACTTGATCATGTATTTTGTTGTTACTGAAGTGTTTAGATGTTATTGAAGTGTTTTGTTGTTATTAAAAAAATTCCGATAATAAGATATGAAACTACTTAGAATAGTTTCAACATGAAAACTTAAAACAGCTTGAAAAAATAATTACCTCATGTCAAAATTGATATAATATAAATGAGTAGAAACTTGCAACAACACAGCAACTAGATTATCAGTCATTATCAATATATTAATCAGACACCAGACAGGGTTATTGAACGGTAAAATAAACAGAAAGCAATGCTAGCCAGAAACAATAAAGTCAGAATGATCATGTTATATGGTTCACCAACAAATTAACTAGCCCGGTTAACACCCAAAATTAGATTAGCATATATATTGGATGAAAAAAGCTAACATTACAGCAGAGGTTAATAAAGCACTTAAACAGTTTTGTATATATGTTTGTGTATTTTAAATCCTAACAGAATAAAACCTCTTTAATCAACAGATATACTGGAGATATATGCAAACATAACCTCTTGTATATTTATTTAGATTAAATCCAAGCAAGTATAGACAATAGTGAAGTGACATGATAAAATATGACAGGTGGACAAACCATTGTCGAAATCTTTAAGATAACTTAAGTTTCATCATAGTGATAGATTATCTCCTCTTGAACAAATATTACTCTCAAATTAGCACTTTAAATTGTCACTTGAACTCCAAAAGTCCACATAACCCTTGAACATAACAAAACAAGTAAAATGGTTTCCTGCGGGGAATGTTTTTAATGATATAAAGATATTTCATTTAACTATTTTCAACATTGTTTGGGGGATAAATAAACGTTTGTATCAGGAATATAGTTAACAATAATCGATCAATATAGAAGAAGGTCTTTGGAAACTGGTGACCGTTGAAGACCGGAGAAGGCCGAAGATAAAACAATTATTTCTTTTAAAGAAAATGATTAAATAGGCCTACCATTTTATGAATTATTCCGAGCAAAAAAAATAAAGTAAACACACAAGTTTACGCAGAAAATATCTCTATTCATTATGGCAGATGCCACTACAAATATTTTAATTTTGTAGATTTTCAGTATTTGTAAAATTTGAGATAGATTTTAAAGAAACATTGATTATTTTCAAACACATCATTCAAGTTTTTTCACCCTAAACGGTAAAATAATTATAGAAAATTAGAAATATCACGTAATAGTTTTTTATCGGACTAATTCCCTAAAGGTAAATCCGTAACGTATCAGCAAACGGTATTTAGCTAGGTTTTCGAAAAGGTCAATTAACCAATCATGTATGGTTTACAGATCACATGCTCCTCCATGTACCGAAAACAGGTCACGTGCTCCTCCATGCTTCAAAAGTTAAACGCGTACCAATACCCTGCGGTCTCCAGACTGCAGGGAATAAGGACAAGGTATATATTAGTTTTCTTACAGGATTATTACAATTCACATTAACAGTCATCTACATGCAAAAGTAACATATCCCCCAGTAAGTATAAACTAAACATGGCTGGTTTTTACAAGTTAGGTTTTATTTTATTCACACTAACACAGTATTATTAAATGGTCATACAAAACTCCATGCTTCTCCATGCTGTATGTTTGATCTGGACATAAGAAACAATAGCCTGTTATAAATTTTCTCATTTTAATTACACTGTAAAGATGATTCCATTGCCATTTTAAGATGTTATTAGTCTAAATACTGGTAAAATTCACTAAAAAAGATTTTTATATTTACATAATCATACTCTTCAGTAAAATGCAATTTAAATATAAATACCAAGTTCCTAATATCACTTTTGTTATTCCTATCCATTTAGGTATCACAGGATTTCAATGTAAACAGAACTTTAACATGTTAATGTCTTGTGACCCTTCCTTTTTAAAAAGATAAAACTTGAAATGTGTTTGATAGGAGATCAGGAAGAACAAACAATATTTAACTTACCATGACTTTACTGCAACTATCTGGTGTTTAACCCTGACTCCATTCTGGCATCTGGAATGATAAAATAGGTAACACTATAGCAAACACAATTCCTTTAATCCATGTTTATCTTCTTCAATCTAAATGTAAATTGTACACATTAATCCAGAAGTTACTATAGTTGCCAATAAATCATCAGATATCCCTGGTAATGACTAGTATCTTGTGGAGTAAAATTTTAATTCCAAACACTGTAACTATGATGTTTATAATTTCATTAACAATATAATAATAAACAAGGTTATAGACAATACAGACAGGAACTTAAACATATTCAATACAAACATTTATAGGCACTTCATTTAAAGGCTAGATCCTACAAAATAACCACTTGATACTTCTAATTTCACCAACATAAGCATAAATGGGTCAAATGAAACTATCAAGTGGATTCTTTAAAAATAATTTCCACCAAAATTCCCGGATATTTGTTCAACCAACAAGAGATAACTCATAGTTAAGAAAATACATACTGTTCAGTAATTCCCTCTGGACAGGAAACAAAATACTAATTTACAATCTAATGTTCCTATATAAACAATTTACTGAAAACAGGATCCAGACCTATTGTGTTATATATACATTGTACCAGTCAATGAATTTGTTAGAATGTTTCTATAAGAAAATCAGAGAGTTGATTTCCAATATGATTCAGGAAGGAATGTTATAGGAAACACAAACAGTTAACACCTGGCAGCAAACTGACAAGAATCTAGCTGGCTTCATTGCAAAAAAAACATTAGGTAAACAGCAACATGTAACAAAGTCTTGATCATAGTATCTAACAAAATAACATTGTTAGAGTCCAAGAGAATCAGTATTTTTCTCAATCATGTTTAATGACCTCTTTATTTCACACAACCATTTTTTGACACTTTGACAAAACTTTGTTACTCCAATTACAATAAGGACATGATATGATTTAGGACTCTCAAAAATGGAAATGAGGCAAGATGGGGTGCAACATAGATTTGATATGAACCTTTTGGACTTGTGGTGGTCGCCTCTACCTACTGAGATAACCAGACGTCTAACCTTTTGGCTAACCTTTCGGACTCAAAATGAAAACAAAGCTATAACCCAGCAAACACCCGACGTTGACCCAACGTTGGATCAACGTTGAATTTTGGTCGCGACGTCGGTGACCTTCATACAACGTCAAATCGACGTTGAATCCCCGACGTCTAACAGACGTTGCATTTTGACCTCGACTCGACGTCGGGTTTTGGTCGGTAATCTGACAATAGGTAAATTTAATTTATGAAACCAATATATATATAAATGAAAGCATAAACAGCGAGAATTTTAAGTTTAAGTTTAGAAAAGGAACATTATATATTTATTTTCTCCATCAAAACAACAGTATCACGTGGGTGGCTAACGTACGATATTCGATAGGTGGCGCTCTGTAAACGGATAGTCGCAGATCAGTATGAAATATATTTGCTCTATTTTCGTTTAAATAATATCTTATCTCCTCGAATTAGTCTAAGAAGTGTTTATATAATTTACAATGAAGTTGTTATCATTTTTGAGGGCTTCATTTTATAGTGGTAAATTATTTAGTAAATTCGAATTTGCGACTTATCGGATTTGAAATTCAATTGTATTGGCGGACAAAAAACGACGGGTTGACAGACAAAGTTGTGTATTCCAAACAAAAGAAAAAGGTAGGCAAACATTATATATTGTTTTTCAATGCTAATTTACCGTATGTTTGCATGGATTCGATGGTTATTTGATCATTGAAATGTTTGACTGGTAAAACTTAATGTCACGTGATTTCGCGAGATAAATATTTTTGTTTCCACGTAAGAACACTTTATCATTTGCTATAGAACAGTCTGTATAATCGGATCATTTTTCCCACACTATATCGCCATGCTAAATAAATGCACATTCAATGGTAGGAAATATCCTAGCAATTGAAATCAATAAAAAGTTAAATGCAGTACGTAAGACTCTTATTATTCAAATGCTGGTAAATAAAATTTCCTCTTATTTCTTATCAACATGAATTTCACTTATATGAGGGGCCAGTCATTTACGCATGTATCAGATGCAGTTTGATTTTGATATCTGTGTAGTTGTTAAACAAATCGTTGTTAATTGTAGTACTTTACCCATACTGTAAGCATACCATGTGTTTCTTATATTATGATAATGATTCATGGCATTTGATACGTGTAAATGATACGACTTTTGTAAGATATATCTGAAAGCACATTGTATTTGACTAGCTATCTTTTTATTAATGTAATCAAACAACATATTATCAATCAGAAAACACATTATCATAGTTATAAATCAATAAAAGTAATAGTTTGTTAATTAGCCTGCTTATCAACAAGTTGTATGCTCGTATCATAAAACGTTTTTACACAGTCTGTCCTATATACACTTAGCAGACCAGATCATGCTGGGCAGAGATGATATCTATAAAAATGACAGTAACATGTGAATTTCTTTGATGTTGTATGAGCATTTGTACAAAGTACTTTGAATAATAGAATATAAAAAATAACAATATCAATTTTTGCGGGAATAGAATTAATTTGGTATTTGTTATATCAGTTTTTCATGCGCTTATGAGTTAACTAAGATTAATAGTAATTTGATTTTGCCTATTGTATTAGACAAACATCCTTTCACCACATGGTTAAATTCTAAAACGATTATATTTCGTCTTTCAGATTGTGAAAAGTATGATAATTCAACATGTGTCAAAAGTTCATGAGGAAGATGAAAATATTTAGAGGAAAAGAAAAATGAAAACCTACCAAGATTTTGTGACAGGAATATTTCAAAATATTATAGAAAAAACAGTGATCTTATTACCCTTGATTTTATAATGAAATTCTTCACGAAGCCATTTTTATCAAAATTAATAGATATATACAGTAGGTACACGAAACTACATGGTTTAAACTAAATTAAAAATAATAAGTGCATGTATCTTTTTAAGTAGTTGGAGAGTTTTGTTAGAATTTCGTTTAATTATAATATGTAAAAGTGATTTATTTCTTGCACTTGTAACTGATTATTTTTTTTTTTTTTTAATTTCAGAAAGTGTGATGAGATCTCAGGTTGGCGACGGTAATGATACGCTTAAAGTATGCCCCAGATCGACCTAGTGGAGGAGGACGAAAGAAGCTAGAATACTAATGAAGATACATGAACATTGCTATTTATAGTTATAACAAAATATTCAGAATATTGCTCCATTTAACATTCAGATCTAGATTCAGTTATAAAATACAAAGACAAATATACATTTAGCGAGTTGGATAGATGATTGAAAAATCCCAAACTCTGAGTGATCAGTTCAGTGGTGATATAAGAAAAAACACATGCATGGATGTTTGCTATATAAAATGTCAGTGTAAATATTCAAGAAGGATTTTGTTTAACATGCTTAATTAATACATGAAGCGTTATTAAAGTACATACCGTCAAGTTAAATAGTTTCAAAAAATATTATGTAAATCTTGCATTTGTTATAATTAGTACCACATTTCTTGTTTTGTACTTGTGATTCCGAGTATAAAATAAATTGCTAAAATCATAAGAATGCTTATTTTTAACCCTATTAAAGAGCTTTAAAATGAAAAAAAAAATCATATTCCAAAAGTTTTGAATGAGGTTAAATCATGGTTAGAAAATTTGGTCAGATAAGGTTGGCATATGGTCAGATAATGGTCAGAAAAGGTTGGATTATGGTCAGAAAAAGGTTTGATTATGTCCAAATATTGGTCAGAAAAGGTTGGATTATGGTCAGAAACGGTTGGATTATGGTCAGAAAAGGTTGGATAAAGGTCATTTTATGACGTATAGACGTCGGTTTCTGACGTCTAAAAAACTTTCAAATCCAACCTTCTGCCAACGTTTACCCAACGTCAGGGTCTAACGTCAGTACAACGTTGGTACAACGTCTTTTGTTTGCTGGGAAGGGGTGAGATATGGATTTGATATGGATGTTTTGAAATGGTTTATTTTAGCTTTATTAGCAATCTCAGAAACATTTCTTCTACAAAATCCTGCTTTCTAACCTCATATAAATTATCTTAAAACAAATCATTGACCTTTTTCAAAATATATTTAGTGATAGAAAAAAATGGCACCAGAGAAAACCCCAATAAAAATCCTGCAGCAATTACCATATTCAAATAAAAAAAAAGCTTTAACTTAAATGTTTTCCATACAAATAATGAATAATGTAAATAAATATAATTATACCGGTAAATATATTTTACTTCTTATATCCAAAGAAATTAGTTTATAAAACACACTTTCACCTTGATGAGATAAATCTATATATCCTGTGTGAACACTTAAGTAAAAATATCAAAAGGCTTTTTTTAAAGCTAGCACATTTAACAGAAAAAGTCTAAAGAGCTATGATAACTTTAATTCCTCCTTTAAGATATACAAACTTTTTTTTCTTGCAACTTCCGTGTCTGTCTGCATATAAAAAATGCCTGACTTTAACATTCACTTTCTCCTGCCCACATAATTATACTAATTAGTCACTTGTTTCACTTCCATTATTGTCTTTTTATCAAATTGAACTTCCTTAATTACTTGTCAGTCATTCAAAATAAAAATCTTTATATTACAAAACTTTAGGAACTAATACTTAAATACTGTTGTAATTTAACAGATATTGGGAATAAGTTATAACCATGAATACTCCTTTTTTATTGGCAAAGTTCTGTCAGTGTTTCTCTTATTATTGCAGATAATCATAAAATGTCTTAGGTAATAAATTCTGACCAGAATCCAAAACTAAAGTGATGGAAAGGAAGAGAGCCTATCCTGCAAACATGATGTATAGTACATCTGTTTTTCAATTATTTATATCTAGATCCTTGAATGAGCAATGTCTGGAATATTGCATCCCACAAGTTTATTAGGTACATTATGTACAGTATGTAAAAAAAGTTGTCTTGAAGTGGCATAGTATATTATATTTTCTTTGAAAATCAATGAAAGCTAGGATGAACTTATTAATA